TTTTTACTTAGACTGAAATTTATTGGTCCGGTCTAGTTTAAGTCTGGTTTGATTTAATTTGGTCTGGTCTGAACTTGTTTGATCTAGTTTGGTAATGTCTGGTCTCTGCATATTTTATAATTATGGAAGTATAGTTTGATCTAGTAAATGTCCAGTCTCTATGTATTTCATAATTATGAAAGTTTGATCTGATCTGATTTTTAAATCTGATCTGGTTTGTTTAAATAAAAACATAAGACACTCAAAATTGGAAAAAGAACCGGCCAACAAAAGTAACGTGTCCGTAGTATATAAACATCCCACCGACGCCCTGTGGCATCCAAATAGCCAAAGCCCAAAGGTATTCAGCTAAGACCTACCCAACGACCCTCATCAAATCCTCACCGAACTCCATGGCTCTGGAGTGGGTTGTGATAGGCTACGTCGCCGGAGCAGAGGCGATCATGGTGCTCCTCCTCACCCTCCCGGGTCTCGACCCGATCCGGAAAGGCCTCATCAGCGTGACCCAGAGCTTGCTGAAGCCGCTATCGTCCGTCGTCCCCTTCGGCCTGTTCCTGATAATGGACATCTACTACAAGTACGAGACCCGGCCCATCTGTGAATCGCCGGAGGCTTGCTCCCCGGGCGAGCACCTCCGGTTCCACAAGTCGATCATCAAGTCCGAGCGGAACGCGCTTCTCATTGCCTCCGCGATCTTCTTCTACTGGATGCTCTACTCCGTCACCGGTCTCCTCGTTCGCATCGAGGAGCTCAACAAGCGCGCGGAGAAGTTGAAGAACAGCGATTGATGATTTTACGGTCTCCCGGGTCGGGTCGATTTGGGCAATTAGGTTTTTGTATCCGATATGTCGTTATTTTCCTGCATTTTCTCTCAATTTTCTGCTTTTGTATGTTCTTGTTTGCCCATGGGTGCAATGTTGTAAGTTAATTTGAGTGCTTTGTATCTTGACTTGGTTCTGCTATTTGACGGGAATACGGGCTCTGCCTCCGACCCGAAAGTTCAAAGATTCGTGGAAATTCCTTCCGGAAATTGGTTTTCCGGCCCGAATCCATAGAAATGCATGTCGGAAAAAAGTTTAATGGTGTCAAACACCTGAGAATAAAGAAAACATTTTTTTCGATTCATTTTTTTTTTCATTTTTTGGAAACGGTGAGTTGTTGTCCTCATCTTTACAGGGCGTTTGCCGTTTGGTTCTTCTAAGTTATTCAAATTTGTTAACGGGGTTGTTGTACTCAACCAGATAGTCTCACAGACGAGCTAAAATTTTATACTGTTTTTTTAGACAAAAGCTTATGTTAAATTCATAGAAACATACATTTCAATAATTACAATATATAATAGACCTTTCATCCACACAAAAAAATATAGAATAGACCATCCAATAATGAGTGATATTAATTGTTGAACATGTGAGAGATTTGAAACCTTGAATGGTCAAACTAGCTAGTCTGATTGTTTCGTAACAAATTATCAGACATGAGCATAAAACAAAAAATAAACCACATACCCCCATTGCCAATGATAAAGGTAAAAACATACGGAGTACTAATTAATAAAACTGAAATGATAGAAATAAAAAATGTTGTTAGTGCTCTAGAGTCCCTTTGGAATTTTAATCCATAGCGGTGGTTCAGTAGGTGGATCACTCCTAGTGCTTGAGCCTCTTCCCGTTGCACCGGCACCGCGACTCCATCATAGATGCGTTCTAGTTCAAAACCCTCGTTCGATTCCCTTCCCTTGCATGCTAAGTTTACCTTAAATTCATCACACATCACCATCATCATCTCACTTCATCCCTTTTAGACTATGTCTTCCTCGCCCGTCAACCACGATCCTCGAAGAGAAATTGCCTATGGTTGTCTGCCCATGTGTTCCTCTTGCCGCCCTGTGTCTTCGAAACTGCTGGACACGGTGAACAACTCCATCACCGGGAAAATATTGTTCGAAAAATTCCTAGGAGAACCTAGGGGCCGTCTGCAATGGCAAATTTGGGTTTTGTAAATTTTTTTTACAGTTATATTCCATATAAGAATACGGTTTTATTATTTTATAACAATCACATGTGTCACAAATTAATAAACTCATTTTAGATTTTTCAAAAAGAGAAACTTAGATGACCTCGTTAAGGAAAGCGTGGAAGTAATTTATAGTGAATTTCTTGACATTAAAATTGCCTATATCGATCAATTTAACGAAATTAATAAAAATTTTGTTGAAATTGCTAAATTAGCTGAATTTGATGAATTATGAAAAAAATATGCGGAACGGAGGGAGTACTATTTGTAAAATGTTGCATTCTTATAAATTGTTTACTACTAGTACAAAATAATAATTCAATTTTTATTTTTTTTAAACAAACACACGAGGTAATCTCAAATCAGATAGGTAATCTTATATCCTTGGTAATTTACATTCTAACAACCTCACGTTATTTAAAATGATCTCACCTTCTAATGCCTCACGTATTTACAAACTTTCTCTGTTATTTTGCGACTTTGCTCACTTTTTCTCGCTTATTCCTAACCCAATTCAAAATGTGCGTTTGTTCAACTTGAGGTAGCCATGGAGGTAATATATTTTTGAACTAGGTAGATACTTTGGCATGATAATTTTCTTATTTGGCCAAAGCCTTCTTTCCCTAGATTCTTGTACTTTGCCGTAATACAAAGACAACACTAATCAAATTGGAGTGGTTCAACCGTTCAACGCATTTTGGGTGGAATTGCTTGCTCTGAGAGCCTTGTTTAAACTTTTGAATGCTTTTCATCAAGAGTTCATAAGAATCATCTATCATACGTAATTTGTGTGTTGACTACCTTTTGAGCAAATGAGCCGAGCCAGGTTACTTAAACTTGAGCATGATAAAAACGCACGAAGTGAAATTCCAGCTCGAATTTGAACGAGCTTAATAATTTTGGTTTGGTCAAGCTCAGATCAAGATCAACTCAAGCTCAAATTGAATTTTGCTAATAAATGTTATACGACTGAGCTCGATCAAGATGCTCGACAATACTATTAAATCGAAATTTAACATAGAAGATAAAGAGCCTAATGATGAAATAAATAACATTATGTTGTGAATGAAGATTTCAATATTTGTATATGGATTGTTGAACAATCCATATACAAATATTGAAATCTTCATTCAAAATATTGAATGAACAATCATTGTTCATTCAAAATATGTTTAAATATGTTTTTAATCCTTGGAAATATAATACATTTTGTTACACATCCCTGCAAAAGTATTTATTTAAGTCATTCACCGATGATTAATAGGGCGGTTTTTAATACTCCATAGTTATTTGTGATGTTATTCGAAAAGTATTTAATTCTATTTTTAGAAGATTTTTTATACACATTTTAAAAATGTGAATAATTGGTTTTACATTGTTTTAACTACAGCCGTCAAAATGGACCGAAATTCGCGGGCTGGCCCGTTTGAACCCATTTATTGGTGGGTTAGGGTTGTGAATTTTGTGACCCATTTAGTTCGCGTATTTCACGGGTTGTGGGTTTAAGTGGGTTGGCCCAACAGATTGCGGGTACATGCGGAGTATTCACAGGGGGTACTGCAGAACATGTTCGGGCCCCTTTTAATGGAAAAATAAGATTTCCAAAATGCAAACATATAATTTTGACTTTTATTGTCTTTTTTTTACTCTAGACAAGGGGCCTGGAGTAAACTGGGCTGAAACTCACTCCATTGAGTTTCGAACCCGAGACCTCCCATAAGGGAGAGTGAGTCGGCGAACAACTGAGTTGAACCGCTTCCTCTTTGACTTTCATTATTTTCAATATTGTTCTTTGACTCCAAAATTATTATAATTGCAATTGAAAAAATTACAAACATTGCAAAATACTTATTATTTTTAAAAGGGAAAACGGTCAAATAGGTCCTCGAACTTTCATAAAAAAGTCAATTAAGTCCTTCTATAGGAGACTCTGTCCGGTCATCGCGATTTGGGGCGATTCCTGGTGGATTTTTTTGATAAAATTTTTAGAGCATCTTATTCATCAAGTCTAGTTTACTCATACCAAATTTTAGCTAAAAATTTAATCGGGAGCGCATTCAAATTAATTCGAGAACGCAAAAATGCGCTGTTATCTTCAAGAATTAATTTGAATGTGTTCCCGATTGAATTTTTAGCTGAAATTTGGTATGAGTAAACTAGACTTGGTGAATAAGATGCTCAAAAAATTACATCAAAAAACTCCACCGGGAACTGCCCCAAATCGCGACGGCCGGACAGAACCTCCTATAAAAGGACTTAATTGACCTTTTTATGAAAGTTCGAGGACCTATTTGACAGCTTTCCCTTTTTTAAAAAAAATATTCAAATAAAATGTTGAAGCATATATTTTATGTGAAGTTCGATACAATATTTAACAATTAGTAGTCATAATTTACAAGTAATTAATCAAAAGGTTGAAGTAGATCTTTACTTTTATAGAATGAGTATTTTTGTCGCATACCCTCTAATAAATTTCAAATTCTCGTATAATTAGTATTTAATATTTTTTAATTAAACTTAACACTAATATTGGATTCTTAATATTTTGATTTCTTATATTTCCTTTACTACTTACTAATATAAATATATACTCTAGGGTAATTATTTTGAAAGAATCTTTTGAAACTAAGGCTTGGATGTTGTTGTTGGCCCGCGGGCCAACCTGTTCAACCCATGAGTTAGGTAAGTTGAGTTAGAGTTGTAGAAATTCTGACCCGTTACCAAACGGGTTGGCCCGACCCAACCCACGTAAAGCATAACTCATACGGGTCGTGTCGGGTTGGCCAATTTGAGCTCTAGTTTTAACTCGCATATTAGCTTAAAAAAAATATAAAAGAATAAATTTAAATGTATCTAGTGGATTTGCACAACCAACAATAACTTTTTTACAATGATATAAAAAAATAAAAAATTGTCGGGACTTAAAACAATTGTGTCACACTTGCACATATTTAAATCTTCACAATATATAACTCAATAGTATTATTAAATTGATTATTAAATTCAACTCAAATTGTTTATTCAGCACAAGATAAACAAACTCGTATACAAATACGTAATATCATTTAGTAGTAATTCACATTTCACATAGACATCATCTTAATACCTATACACATCATTTAAAATGGACACCTCCGACACATTGAAGACTAACCAAAATAAAACAAATTTGTAAAATATTAAAAAACAAGAAAATGTTTTAATGGGTAAAAATTACATCACTCATCCATCACACGAAACATAACCTGAGAGAAATAAAAGATCAAGCAACTATTGTTTGGAAACAGAGAGCCATCTATCTTCTTACCAGGGCAACTGCTTATCTCAACTTTTTCCTCACATTTTTATTTCTGTCTGTTTTTGCTACTTACAGTCCTACACACAGTGTGGTCGTGTAGATGATACATGCCCTATTTGTGTGTATTTATTGTTGAAAAGCCAATCATTAAAAAAATTGTTTCATATTTTAGTTATTTTATGAAAATAGTGAAAAACACCAGCTTTACATGTTACTTTGGCTACAAGCTTCACTTTGTTGTCTTGGCGTGCTTAATAAGCCAATCAATAACAACATCAATGTTTACAGAATTTTTACAAGAGATCATATAGCAGCAGACCTCTCTATCCTTGATTGTTTGAAGACTCCTGATAATATCAGACAATTTAAAGAACAGATGTCAAGAATGATAATTATAATAGGGAAACTATATTGCAAGACTAATACTACTAATGCTCAAATGCTTACAATTGGTCCATGAGATACTGCTTGGCAAGAGCTTCTGGTTTGTCAATTTTGTTTCCAAGTACAAGCAATGGGATACTGGTCAGTGAAGGCTTTGTCAAGAGATCATGGAGTTCAGTCCGGGATATAGGAACACTATCTCGATCGGCAGCATCAACCACATAACTGTCAAATTGTATATACTATTTTTTGTTACTCTATAGAAAAGAATACAGCCTAAACAAACTCAATATTTAGAGAGGCGAAATTTTTTTTAGTCCTAATCTTATCAAGTATCAACAAGTTATGAACAAGAAATTTAGGTAAACCGCCCTTTATGAACATGTTTTGCTATCTATTAAGTTTTTTGGGTTCAATGCTAAAATCAACCAAATAAGAGGTGTAATTAAAGACCTTATATGGTGAATTTGTATATTGATATTTAGCCATTATGGGATGACTTAACGCAATCAATCCTATTCACATGATAGTATGTTCCTCACAAGTACTTGAATAAATAGTTAAATAAACCAGCGGCACAATATACATATTATATCGGTAACAAGTAGAGAGTGTTTAAATTAAAAGACGCCCGCATGGTGAAGAGAAGTTAAGAGATTACACAATAGCAGAGGCACCACGACAGTAACGCTCCCACATGGAACGAAACCTATGCTGTCCTCCGACGTCCCAAATTTTGATAGTTACATTTCCCTTTGTCACTTTACGCATGTTAAACCCAACCTGGTTTGGAATGAACTCTACTAAGATGACCAAGCCTTTAAGATCTATATGAACCACTATACTCCCTCCAGTCCTACTTATAGGGTTGATTTTGGTTTTGACACAAACCAATGGAATATTTGGTACTCCATATGTCCCATTTTGTTTGTCATGTTAACTACTTATGCGATCAACCTAGTTCTTATTTCTTCCCTGATTTTGAGGATGAATAAAATGTTAAGTAGTTTTTATACATGTAAATTTTAATCATTAATACACATTTAAATATTACTAGGGAAGCATTAGCTTTAACACCTGTCAAACCTCATATTCCCAAAACAGGGTATTTCCCAAAGGTAAACTCGAGTTTTTTATGCATGCTACAATAATACTATGTATTATGGAAAGATAAAAAGAGCAATCAAGTAGAGTAATGAGGAGTAATAGTTGATTGATTTGCTTGATTGATTTGATTATGATTTGATTCTAATACCTTCATTATTTAATCTATTTTAGGAAGTGACTTTTAGGATTTCCCTTTCCTTGTTTTGTGCATTCATATGCATGTAATCCCTCTTATAAAAGGGAGCTTTGCTATGCTAATAAAATATGGAAGAAAAATTAAGAAGAAACCAAGGAGAAGGAAAACTCCCCAAATTTCCATTGTCCCTATTTGTTTATCATTTATATTTCTTTCCTGTGACGCAAAGAATCCCGGGTACATAGCAGTTTTCTAATATGCTCTTATTCAATAGTACTTCGTCGTCCAGATCAACCTCAGTTCCAAATAAGACTCCATTAAGACCCCACTTCATTGGGCTATTGTGAATTTGGAGGTGTACAAATTAAGTATTTATGTATACATTGTTAATAGAAAAATGACTTTTATTTAGGACCACTCTATAAATAGAACAGGAGGGAACACTAATTAGGGAGGAAATAAAGACGCTTACAGTTGGAACCATGTCCTCGCTGTAGCCACCAGTCTGATTGATTGAATATATTAAAAATGTTATAAAAAAAAATAATTAGTGATGTGAACAATGTAGGAAATTAGGAAACAGGAGGAAGAGAAAACGTTCTTACGGCGATGGAGTTAACTAGAGATGTCTTGCCTGCATTTTGAAGTCCAACAAGAGATATTTCCATCTCCTGTTTGAAGAACAGGCTGCCATGCAATTCAGAAAACACACAGTTGTTGTTATTCTTCTCACTCTAGTTACCGTGAACCCGTGATTGAATGGAACATAAAAGGAAAATGATAAAACAACCACTATCGTTGTTTTTATTATTACTCCTTTGCAGCAATGCTACTGTAAAGACATGCATATTAAAAAATAAAATGGCACAAGACAATCATTGAAGTCCTGTTTAACTAACACACCTTATATAACAAATTGAACATAATGAGCAAAATAATGAGAAGAATATTCAGTATAAGAAGCCGCAGATTTACTTATTTGGTCGAAATTGATTTTACGGGTCTAAATAAATTGGAATCGAAATGGTTTTAACAATCTGAATTGATTATACTACACATATATTGAGTATACTACACATCCTCACAGAAATGTAATCCAATAATCAATCCCTGCGGGATCATCAACCACTGTTGAAAACTAACCTGATGTTAATCATAACAAAAAGGACAATAATAGGCACATTGATAGAGTTAGGAAATTGTTCATACTTCATAGAATAGTAAAGCTTTCTCGACTTCACCCCAAATCCCTTCACCCTCAATTTTTACTGGGAGTAAATTCTAGAAAATTTTATTATTCCTGAACCATTTCCTGTGTATATCATTATACCAACAGAAAAGTTGAGGCCTACAAATATTGGAGCAAAGTTGCAAATCAAGAAGTTTAAGGAAGTCAAAAATAGTTCATTTGTTCAATTCAATTTTCCACCTGATTTAACTACATATTGAACATAGACGAAGTTAACTCTTTTTTGCTATTATCATTGGGTCATAAAATACCTGAAACATTCCACTAAATTAAAAAGAAATACCAGAAATCAACACTTTAAGATTGATGAAGACAATTGTTGGAAGGAAAGGATCACCTGCGAAGCCAGTTGAGGAAAGAATCCCATATGCCCATGACCGCAAAAGATGAGAGCTTCGATCTTTGATTAATCGAAGACCTTCTTTAAGTAAAAACAGAAAGAAAAAGGGAAATGGACCCAAAAGAGAAAACGAGGACGAAATACCGAGTACAGGATGAGAAAGTCACACAAAATGGCTTAAGAAGCTCCGCCGACTAAAACAAGAAACATGTGGAAGAGTCCGCCATTTTTCTTATGAGAAAAAAGAAGAAAAGAACAAAAAAGTTGCGAGGAAATGAGGATTACGGATAACAAAAAAGAGATTTCAAAAGCATGGCATCCCATCACTGAGGGTCCCCAACACCGATCAGACGACACGATGAGAGAATGTAAATTGGACTATCATTGATAGATAGAGAGTGAGATTTTGTTCCCGGTAAAAAAGAAAAAAGAGAGAGATTTCCTCATTTCCATATAAGGTCAAGGATCTTATCTTTGAAATATTCTAAAGGTACACGGACATGTGTAATAGTGTGTACATCAAAGAGTGTATCTCAAGTCCAACTCCTTATCTTAACATTTAGAACATAGAAGGAGTTGGCGAATTTGATGGGTTTGATGGGTCCAGCTAGTATGTTTTCACTTTGACTGTAATTTGATCTGGTCTGTTTAAATCTGGTTTGGTCTAGTTTGGTCTGATAAACGTATGGTCTCGATGTATTTTATAACTACAAAAGTCAAGTCTGGTCTGGTCTATTTAAGTCTGGTCTGGTCTGATCTGTTTAAATATGGTCTGGTCTGGTCTGGGATTGAAAACAATCCAAGTAAAAACATCTCTAATAAATTTTATACTGCGTATTTCACTCCAGTGTAGTCTTGAATTATTGTATTGTTTTTTCTTTTGTTACATTCACTATTAATAAATAAGTTTTCTCTTTTCAAAAAAGGGCCAAATTACGAAATTGGTAAAAAAAAGAGGGTCATTGGACAAATTGGTAAAAAAAAAACACTTGAGTCATATTGGTAAAAAAAGAAGACCTAGTGATACATTGGTCAATTTTTTGTGAGCGACAAATTTTTTATCTCCGACTTTAGAATTCCTGACATTTCATATTCTAAGTAGGGATGGACCGGGGCCTGGTCCGATTCCGGTTCGGGCCTGGGCCCGGCCGAGCTTGGATGGTTTTGGGTAAGGCCCGGAACCGGCCTGGGAGTCTACCGGTTTCGGTCCGCGCCGGTTCCGATTCAATTTTTGTTTTGTTTTGTGTTTTCTTATTTATTTCAAATTTTCAACCCCCACCCCCCAAACCCCTCAGAAACACCCAGCCCAAACTAAAAAAAACCAGGAAAAAAGGCCTGAACCGGTTACCCCCCCTCGGGTGGGGCCTAAGCCCGGAACAGGAACCGGTTTCGCGGGCCGGGACGGTTCCGCACAGTAGCAGGCCGGGCCGGTTCCCGGGCCGGGCGGCCTGAACCGAGTGCATACCTAATTCTAAGTATTGTGAAGTTGACATTTGCAGTCCTTTTACTTTGATTTTGTCATCAAAAGTGGAGGTCTAAAAATGTTAATGACCATTTTTTATAATATTATTTGTCTGCTAGCTCATAACCAGTTGAATCAACATATTGATATTAGCGGATTCGTTAGCTTTTTTAACTGACCACTTTCATTAGCGGTTTGAAATAAAATGTTAGTAACTTAAAATTTGTAATTAGTTTTTCAAAATTAAAATGAATTTAAAAGTTTATATATTTAAATTAATTTTATTTCTTGTTATTTTTAATAGGTTTTGGAAAAAGTTTTAAAAATTATGTTTATGTTTATTTTAAATAGTTACTAACAATATCATTTTTAAGATATTTACATTAATGCAAGCACACAAACATAAATTCATATATTTTTAGTAATAATATTTTTAATATGACTATTTATTAGTTTTTTTAAAGTCTACTCCTTTTAAAAAAATCTACTTCAGAATTCTACTCCATATGACTATTTATTTCGAGTAGTTTTTTAAAAAAAATTACTCCATGGTTATTTAAAATAAATGTAAATATAATTCTTAAAACATTTTCAAAGACTTGTTAAAAATAAAATATATAGAGTATAAAGTTAAGAAAAAATATAGACTTTTAAATTCATATCTTTAATGGTCATTTTACGTTTTAACATTTAATCGTAAACAATTAAGTTACTAACATTTTATTTCAAACGCTAATGAAAACGGTTAGTTATAAAAGCTAACGGAATCCGTTATTATCGATATGCTGATTCAACCGGCTATTAGCTACCAGATAAATGCTATCATTAAACACGATCGTTGACATTTTTAGACATCCACTGTTGATGATGGAATCAAAGTAAAAGGACTGAAAATGTCAATTTTTAAATACTTAGAATATGAAAGGTCGAGAATTCTAAAGTCGAGGATCAAAAGTTTATCAAGCACAAAAAATTGACCAATTTGTCACTAAGGTTTCTTTTTTTTTACCAATAAGTCTCAAATGGTTTTTTTACCAATCTGTCCAATTAACCTCTTTTTTTTTTTACCAATTTGGTAATTTGGCCCAAAAAAAGAATGGTGTTGGTAACTCTATTTTGAACTTATTAAACTTATCATAACATTTTAATAATGATTTAGCGATCCGAATTATGTAATTATCAAAATAAGTAAAATTGAAGTTATTTTTCTTGATTGAATTAATTGAAATAGATGTAGAGATCTGTTTTTTTTTTGCTATTTTCCGTAAATTCAGCAGATTCTGCTACTTCATAAATTTTAGTAAATTCAACCGATTTAAACAATTTCAGTACTTTTAAATGAGCTCTTAATTTTTAATGATGTTTAACTAATATCCATTCTTTGTTGAAAAAAAACTAGAAAAAATCGAAAAAAGATTGAAGTTTTTTTCAAAATCATTAATTACTAAAATACAATTTGGGTACAAAATATGACTAATTAATATGAGTATGGTGTGATAGTCACTTGAGTTCAAAATTGAACATAAGTTACTATGTCCAAAGTTACTACCATACATATTTATTATTCTTAAAAGGTCACAGTTTTATAAATTATATTTTTTTAGTCATAAATGCGTAATTATATAAACAAAACGTTACATTTAAAGAAAAAATGTTACTCCGATCCCTTTATTCTTCAATAATAGTCTCCTAGGATTTTTTGTTGTTTTCAAGAAAAATAATAATAGGGATATGTAGTATTGAGGGTGCATGATATATGAAATATTATGATAGAGAATATATTATGAAGAGTAAAGTAATGATAAAGTATAAAAGAGAAAATAGTACTCCCTCTGTCCTTGAAACACTGTCTTGCTTTTCTAAAATGGAAGTCCCTAAATAAAATTTTCACTTCTTTAACTTCGTTATTTGGTAAACAAATCGATCTATATCAAACATTGTCAAACAATGTCACTACAGTGTGACGTTAAATTCATTTTATTAATATGTGTGAAGACAAACTAGGACAATGATTTAGGGACGGAGGGAGTTGTAAAAAGTAAAGAGGGGTAAGGATATTAAAAGTGGGTGTATAAAAGTATTTTGATTGGAAGAACTTACTAAAAAGTGAAAGAGAGATAAATAATTAAAAACATCCCAAAAAAATACGAGACATTTATTAGAGAATGGAGGGATCGGAGTACTAATTTTAACTCTTTTAAGAAATATACTTCAAAAAGTTTTTTTAAGTAATATTTGTTTACTTAATAATCATTTTATTCTAATTCTAATTTACACTCAAGTGTCCAGACTTGTACGGTTGTCCCCTACCTCTGCCCCACTACAACCTCCAGCAACCACTGTTGGTGGTTGCCTCCGACAACTGTCATGATCGACGGAACAGTCACCGGAAAAATTCGCATGAGTTTGAATCTGTTTTTAGTGATGTCAACAGTGAGACCGCAGTTACTAAAGGTGATATAAAATCTATTATTGACGTATAAAATTGATAGACATATTCATAATTTTTAAATTTTATTACATTTTCGGTGATATTTATATATATGTAATGTGATAACTTGTTTAAATTGAACATGAATATAGTAATGTACCCAGTAATTAAAAAAAACCCAAAAAGTTAATATCTACGCTTTATTTATGTGAGATTTATGTTAGCTGAATCTAAAATTTTCATAGAATAAGATTTGAACTTTCAGATACAAATCGATGTGTCTCTGGCTTTCGAAGTTTGCTTATAATGACGATTCAGGTAAGTGGAATCAGAGGGTGGAATGGTCTAATTCGGACCCTTAATGAGTATTACTTTTGAGCAGACTTTGCGAGAAAGTAATTGGATAACCCATGCCCTTATTGACCCACATTGTTTTTGGGCCATTCTATTATATTTGGTACGGTCAAAAATTCAAAATGTTGCCCAATTTAGCTCGTAAATACTTCTTTAGGGACTTCTTTGGATTTCCGTGTTTGAGATTTTAAACGTTAGTAATGCTTTTATTTCTATCAGGTAAGGTCTATTTACCAATATTCCTTTTGGGTAAAGTCCTTAAATATTATGTTTATCCTTAATAATGCCTTCTCTTGTGAGGTTTTGACCTAACCCACCGGGATAAAACAGGCGGGTCCTGGAACATGGGCAAAGGACCCATGTTCCCCTATTATTGGGACGGAAGGAAGCAGGGGCGGATCTGGCCCATGGCCAGGGAGGGCCTAGGCCCATGTTCAAAAAAATATAATTATTGGTATGTATATATTATGTATATATTAATATATGGTGTTTTAGTAGTTATGATATAATAAAAGCTAATGCCAAATTGTGAACATTAGTCAAGTTGGTCTAATGAAAGTACACCAATCATGCAACAAAAGGAGTTAGGTTCGAGTCTCCTGGACACCATATTTATATTTTTCCAATGCAACATGAGTAATTTTTTTTATACACCCTCCAAATTGTAGGTGGAATTTAATTAGTTTACTTTTTTACATAGAGCATAGGCTATGGAGTCAAAAGAACCGATGCGAGCCAATTTCGGTTCGGTATATGGCTCTTTTAAGATAATTATATTTTCAATTTTGTAACATTTATTTATTTTTTCTTTGACATTTTTGTAAAATTATATAACTACATCTTGTCATTTTAACATTTTTTTGCAAACTAAATTTCGTAATTAAAATTTGGCCCCACCTCAACGCAAATGCTAGATCCGCCACTGGAAGGAAGTGGTGTTATTTTAAAGAAAAGTAGAATTGTGTGATTGATAATGAGTTGATAAAGTGGGAATAAAGTAAGAATGAATTAGAGTCA